CCATGTTGAAGCTGTTTCATGAATTAAACTTGTTCATTGCGCAGTCAAAACGATTTCCCTGACACAGCACTTGAATGAAAGGAACACAACATGTTTACTTCATCAAATACAGCACGGTCAGCTCCTGTTTAATAAGCATAGCAAGCAGCTTCAGAAGGCCTGGCCTGCTATAGACATTTGTAGTAAAGTTTTGCAGAACAGCCATGTTTTATTTAGTATCTTGATATGCTTTTTTTGTCTTTTTGAAACAGAATCTCCCTATGCAGTTTGGGCTGGGCTTGGGATGTGTAGCTGGTCTTGAACTTGCAATGATCCTCCTGCCTCAGCCTCCTAAATACTGGGATTACAGGTGTGAGCCACCACACTTGGCTTTTGATTTGCCTCTACAATCACATTGCATATGATTTTTTTGTCATTTTTATAGGACTGTAATCAAACCAGTTGGAGAAATAAAGCAACAGAGACCAGTCAAGACCTTGCATATCTTAAAATAATAATAATAAAATTGTTATGTCTTTGTTGTTTGTGAAAACACTACTGGCTGTGTAAACGTGCGGTGGCTTTGAATATGGTCTTCTTTTCTCTTCTGCACTTGTATCAGCCCTGTCAATTTCTAGTGGTAAGTCAGACACATGGCTAACCACCTGGCCCTATACTAGAAATCAGAAACAGTTAATGCAACAAAATGAGTTAGTCCCTCTACTGAAGGAAACACAAGCTGAATTTGTAACTTGGCTGATTTAGATCCTGTCCTCATGGAGCTTTTTTCTTCCTGGTACTGGAGACTGAACCTAAGGCCTTTGCATTGGGCTACATGCTCAGAATTTTTTTCTTTTTTTGAGACAGGGTCTCACTAAGTTGCCCACACTAGGCAACCCTCCTGTCTCAGTCTCCCAGAGTTGTGGGAGCTTTTGATTCTCTAGAAACCCTAAGACTCTTGGGTGAAAAGCGAAAATGTCAGAAGGAAATGAGAAAGCAATTGGGGAGCCTGAGACTCTGGACAGGGGGCACGTGACTGGCTGTGGGACACTAAGCAAGAGTCAAGGATGCAGAGTCCTGAGAGGAGAGACATAATAGGGCAGAGATGGCTAAAGAGCTCAATGGCATTCTGCAGAATGGTAGCTGATATTATTGCCGAAGTCTCTTGTTTACTCATACCAGAAAGCAAATTCTAAGAGGAAAGCCTCAGCGCTGACCACTGAGCACACAGTGCAGTAGAAGTTTGCAGCTTCATGGAGAGTCACAACAAGCAGCAATCAGCCCAGAGATAGCAGTGTGTTAAAAGCTATAGGAAGTGTAATGAAGAAGAACAGTGAAAGGCCACAAGACAGATCAAAAATGGACCTATAGGGACCATAAAATAGAATACCTTTGTTTAGAAATAATGCACAGAAGTATTTAAGACAAGATAGGATGTCTACATGCCCCATAACAAACTGTACAAACACACGTACACACACACATAGCCAGAGGGTTGGCAGGGAGAGAAAAATGGAGACGATAGGAAAAGAGAAAAAAAGGAAGAGAAGAGAAAAGGCAGAAAAAGGAAACAGTACTTGGGAAAATTTGACCAATTATGAGTCACAGGTAAGGAAGAGAAATACCGCTGTCCTGCCAAATGCAAATGAAAAGTAAAAAAGCAAAACGAAAATAATGAAGCTGAGGACAGTAAGGCACAAAGAAAAAGACAAGGCAAAGACCATTCGGTTACAAAAGAAACGAGTTCCATCTTGTTCTGCTTCTTTAGGCGCCTGCAGTGAAAGCCTGATAATCTTGATTACAGGGTCACAAATGACCACTGTGAGGGAGAAAACCAGTTTTACCTGTCTGAATGGACCAGGCAGCTTCCACTGTATCCTTTCAAAGTCACCTCCTATAAAATAGGTTAGCTAGTACTTTTGATATTTTGTCCTAGATTTTTCTAAACTTTGTTGTTTCCATTAACGTGTTAACTACTCAGTGATTTCAATGAGTTTCGAGTATAAACCCTTACAGAGAGCTCTCCAGAAAGTATTAATAAATAGCTATTATCGATCTTCACTCTAATAGTCTGATGATTTTATGCTTTTAGGCGATGAGAATAATTTGTCAGTAACTAAAGATGGAATATGGATTACCCTGGACTCCTATAAACAAAATCAAATATAAAACGTAGGAACCTCCCCGAGACTCTCTCCTTTCTTCTACCTATGCCTTTCCAAGTCTGACTTTTGGAAGGATCAGCCCCTGCACATACTAATATGAAAAAGTAAAGGAAAAGTGCGAGGCTGGCTCCAACTCCTTATTTGTCACTGCTAAGCACAAGCCTGCGGGTCCACATCTCCTTGCTGGGCAGCAGTGCAGCCCAGGCTCCGCAGGGTGAAACGCCCAGCTCGGGGCCCACAGTCAGCAGACGATGGACACTTCTCACGGACTAACTTAGGTAAGTGGTGCCGAACTTCTCAGGAGCTTTCAGTGATACATGCCCTGCACTGCGGCACCATTACCTCAGGCCCTAACCGCTACAGCTACAGTCCCCCTCCTACGAATGGAAGTTTAAAATGTTCTGCTTTAGGCAGAAAAATGAACTGCCTTAAATTAATGGAAAAGTAAGAGGAATAGCACAATTACCAGACACAGATTTCAGATCATGACTATCTTCTGTTTACATGTAATCTTTTATACTTAATAATGTTTTTATTGATCCAAAAGAATTTAGCATAGTTTTTTAAAAATGTACTAATGTGTTTGCAATACATGGTAATGTCATTCATTCTGGGGAACTGGTATATATATATATATATATATATATATATATATATATATATATCACATCCGAAAATTTTTAAATATTAGCATAGTTTTAAAATATAATCAGTTCATATTTAAAAGAACTTCCTAATAACTTGCCTTTGCATAATATTTTATAGAACATATAGATCTGATGTCCTTATATTATCTGATCCTCACACTTAATCAGCTGGAATTATCCTCCCAAGTACCTAGGACTAGAGAAATAAGGTGAGAAAGAATACAATTCAAGCTTTCAGCAAATGCTTTTTCTTACGCAGACCAAAAAATCAACATCACGGGTGTCACACCTGACTTCCTTCTGCATCAGAATATTTTTCATTCAATTAAACTCTAAAATACAATACCAGTGCCTGCCCTATGAACTCTCATTATGTGGATACTGGCTACAAAGCTATGCCAATCTTTTTACACACAGGTTGCTACTCAAACTTACTGAATGAATGTGCTTTAGATTTCATGCAAAGATGTGTCAAATCACAGAGGCCTAAGCAAGAGATATAGGCATGTGGTTCTTGTATATCAGCAACTCTCCTGATAGAACAGTGTCTTTTCAGTTCAGGTAACTAAAATATATTCTATTTTGTAGCTTTCTTCTTCCCTGCACAATTCAACAAAAGGTCTTCTGATAAAGTACAAGACTTCTTGGAGGAAATGGGCAAACCCGGGAAGTCTACTGAAGTCCGTGTTCTGAGCTGCAGGTGGTGAAGAGCATTTAGAGACTTGAGTGGGTTGGAAATCTTAAGGATGGAATCTCGGCCTAAATTTCCACCAATAGATGACTGGAAAAACGAAATGTGGGGCTCATACATAGTATTGCCCTGCATTAGGATAAATGTGAGTCACTTGCAGGAAGATGGATGTCCCTCAAGACCATCACGCTGAGTGAAATAAATCGGACACAGGAGGTTACACGGTGTCTTTTACATGAGAAACCAAAGTATTGATAGCAAAATAAAAGATGAGTAATAGGAAACTCAGAGATAGAACTTTTGTGAATAAGAAGGGGCCCCAAGAGATGGAGGGAATGGAGAAGTGGAGGAAAAGAGAATGGAGACGTGTCCTGCACACGCACCGACTCCCCACGAGGACAGTGATTATTAGGTACTGCAAACCTAGACTAATACAAGTAAAAATTTAAATATGATCAGAATGCACAATCATGATAAAAATCAGTACAAGAACTTTTAGATTCTTTAAGAAAAGGTGGGGGCACACACTGGTACATGCCATCATCTTTCCACTGGTGCCACTGTACGTCCACCATCCTTTCTTAACCCAGCGAAGTGGGTGCTAGCAGCCAGCTGCCTTGAGCGCTTCTCCTCCTCCCTCGGCTCTGTGTGTAGCTACAGAGCCTACTTCACAGCCAAACACCCGCAGATACCCCTGCCAGAAGGGGGAGACTGTATCTGCCTCTCTCGGCCACTTCCTGTAGCATTCAGTCCTTCACCAACCCTGGCTCCTTAGCTCCTCTCCCCTCTAAACAGTAACAGCGACCACACCCTGTCACCTGCAGAGCCCACGCTAGCACACCTTCAGTCCTAAGCAATCTCTCTCACTAAGTACTACAGGCATGGAGCACACGTTTAATGTTTCATGGTATTATTCACTTGCCAGCACACATACACTGAAAAGCAATTTTGCTACCTTTGCTTACCACACACACACAGACTATGAGTAAGTTTGGCGAGTGCTAAATATTGAAATAGTGTTATAAAGAATTCACATATTGCAGAGACCCTTGGAGGATGGTTAAACAGATATATAACAGGGGCTGAGTGAGAACTGGCAAGCTGGCCCGTATTTCCTGTAGGTTAGGAATGCATGTTCATTTTTCCCACTTGAACTAGTAAGCCAATGGCTTCTATTCTTTAAATAGTACCTTCACTTTCAAGAAAATAGTAAGTACTACTTTAAATGGGTTACCTTAATTTGAAAGTCATTAATGTTTATATCAACTAAATTTGCTATTTACTGTTTTTCTGCTTTTTACATAAAAAGTCAAATCACTTGCGTTCATATTCTCCTGGAAGAATAAGAATTACATTAAGTAGAAACGTGTGGTCTGAGTAGCAGCCCGGTCATCTGGACTGTTTTCTTTTTTCACTTTGATGGGGAAAATACTTGCAGATGTTCTTCTCCATGTTTTAGTTTTACTTAGCAAAAATGTACTCTAGTTTTCCTTTACTCATAACAGCACTGTCTCTTACCTATAAGTCCCCACAGACTTGTCCTCATCCGGCTCTTGGTTCGCCGAATTCTGATAGGATTGATTTGTACAGCAGAGTTCCTGCAGAACAGAACAATGGTACATTTAGACACTCAAATGTACAGTAAAAGTACCTGGCATTTACAGCATGTGTTAATTCTGGAAGCACCCTCATATTCAATGTCACAATCAATCAGCATATCAAAGCGAGAAAGACTGGATTTTACAGATATGAAAACTGGGGATGACAAAGACATAATGATTTGGCCCAGGGCACAGAAATATTAGATCTGGGAGCAGAACGAAATCTCAACTCCGACTCACTGCACTTCTCACTGAGCTACACTGTCACACAGTAACCTCTGTTCTCATGAGACCTGTTCTTCAAATGATATACTTAGATGAAACAGATGTCCTAGAAATCCAGAGAGAGAAAATGGGATACATAACAGATGATGGAGACATGTAAGACAGAGGAAGCCAATGTTAGGCTGAGCCCTAAACTGGGATGCCTACGAGCATATTTTTGTGGCACAGAGGGACAATGCAAATCCCTGGGTGCTGCAGGAAGGATTGAGGAGAGGCAACTCCATCATCCGACTGTCTTCAGTGGCTTCTCTCTCTACTGCTTTTCTCTTCTTAAATTTGGAGGTATGGTGGTGCTGACCACTGGTCTATAACTGAACATAAAGGCACTCGGTGTAACTGGCACAGCAAAGTGGAACTTTAAAAGTTAACTTTTTTGTCCCTTTACAGACAAGTGGCTTCCTGAAGGCCAGGATGTTCAGCTTCCCACAGCTCACAGCAAGCTTCAAAGAAATCCCTTCTTCCCTTTTACCAAAATACACGGCTTCCTTCAATTCGGTCAGCATTGAGCAGAACCTGACCTGTGGAAACCTGAGTGGCCCGTAACATTCACAGTTTCTGAAAAGTGGTCAGGAAAGTTTGCATTTTAAACCAGAGGTGCAAAGTTGAGCAGAACAAGTGATCTCTCTGGAAGCCATGAATAACTAGCAGCGATCTGACAGGAACAGTGACCAACATAGCGACTGGTGTAGTCTAACTGCAGTGTTGTCACAGTGTGAAGTTGGTCCAAACAGAGCTCCTGATTGGGCAATCCAACCTGGCCCAACCCACAATGTGCTGTGGCACCTCTCCCATGAGTCTTCTTGCCCCATTCTTGTATCTCTATACTCTATTCACCAGCTTGACTTTGAAAATAAGACAAGGTCTTCTCACCTCTGCTTCCAGTGCACTTTGGGTAAAACTCATGCACATCACTCTGGACCTCAAAGTTCTGCGTAATTTGGCCCACGCCTCGCTCTTGGGTTCTGTTTTCTATTGCTATGCCTTGTTTCTTCCACCTCCTCCTGGCATTTGCCTACTCTGCTCCCTTGAACTCTCCACACTAGTTTCTACTTCAGGGCTTTTGCAACTGTTGCATCCCCTGCCTGGACTGCCTTCATTTCTTATTATCACTGGGAGCCTCTCCCCAAAACACAAATCATCAGAAAGAGACTTTCCCTGAGCACTCCTCAAACTGCCTAACCTCATCAGATATTAGCACACTATTTCATTTTCTCAGCTCTGTGGCACTTGTCAGTACAAGGAGCTATTATCTCTCTGCCTTCAGGTTTCCTTGGCATGTCCCAGTGCCTCAAACCTACCAGGTGTTTGCTACATATGTTCCTGAGAGAAGAAATTAATTGATCCTGAAGCTGTCAGATGGCTTCTAAAGACCACCTTTTGTTTTTAGAGACAAATGTGTGAATGACAGATTAGGAGAACATTAAGCGAGCAAGAGCCTTTACAGTCAATTACCCAATGAGAAAAAAAGAGTCAACTTCAAAGTTTACTTTATCACAGAAACCTTCCTTTAGCTCCCAAAACGTGCACTTCTGATCACGTGCCGTATCCAGCACCCACTTATTTTATAATACATCAAAGTCATTTGTAAATGACTGCGCATACCTTCTGAGTGTGTCTGACTCTCCACGGAGATGCTCAGTGTCTGAAGCACAGAAACTGACCTATTCTAAAGTCCTTGTATCTGTACACAGTGCTTCAGGAATGCTGGCCAGGGGCTGAGAGACAGAAGAGGACGTGTCCTGCTAAGGAAGCCCTGATGACCACAGTGGCAAGGCACACACAGTGTACTCACCTTTAGGAGCCGAAGATTGAGGACACAGACAGATCCCATAAGCAAAAAGCGCTCTTTTGTGGGAAATTTCGTAATAGCTGATTCCAGGCAAAGGCACTCAGGAATGAAGCCACCAAAAAATATGAAAGACTCTAAAGGAGATGGGCACACATGTGACAATCTAATTCACAGGCACCTGGTTTTTTTTTAAAGTACTGTTTACCAACCCACTGATAATTTTCAAAATTCTAAGCCAAGGGATTTTCCCCTCTTTCCTTCTTTCCAGCCGACCTCTCCCATTCGTCCCCACCAAAACAGAGAAGTCATTATGGGGAATGAGCTGTGCGTTCACAGTGGTTCAGTCTGCTGCTCCCATACAGATGGACATGTTAGGGACCTGAAGAAATCTAGAGTCTTTGTTTTACCCAGACCCACATGGATATTAACTGTGTGTGTATGTCTGAGATTTCTAAAAAGGTGTCCACCTTTAATTTCCACAAAGCATGAGAAATATATTCATCAAACTATTTATTTATTCATTTGTTTCTCACATGCTCACCAATGCCTGGTATTGTTCACCTTTCTAATCTATGCCATTCTGGTGGGCAAATCTGCCTGAAATGCCACGTTGCGAGTTGCTAAATTTTCTTCCTTTGCTTCATGGTGAGTTGGAACACCTTTTCACATATTTGTAAGCTACTGGAGCCATTCCTCTCTGATTCAAGCTCCAGACATCTTGTGGCACCATACATTCATTAGCTCTCATTAATTTGTCATTTCCTCAGCCTACAGTTTTCAGCTTGATACCCACATGTGACACAAGCTTGAATTCTGACTTAGTATAAATGGCCCATTTCTAAGTCCATTGAAATTTCTGGGAGATCAGATTTATTCCGCCTCTAGGCCAATGGGTAGAACTTTAAAATGTGACCTCTAAGTTTCCTGCATTGGTCCTTGAGAGGGGCAGGAATTCCAGATCCCAGTCAAGGAAGTCTCTGCACAACTGAAAATCCATCGAGGCCACCACAGAACCCACTTCTTTGCTATCACCATGCTGTTGCTGCACCTCGCAATTGCTGGTACACGTGGTCTCTTTCACTTGAGTTTGGCTATGCATTCAATGTCTCTTATTAAGATTAAACAATTATTTCATCATTTTTTAAAAGGAGAGATGCCTCCTTCATCACCTAATCCCTCATCTTTCTATGATCCCACCTTGTCAATTTCACTATTAACTTCTTAATATCTAATATGAGTAAGCATACACTGTGACCACAACAACCTCAAAGACTTTGTGGTGACCAAGAAACCAACACAATTTATGTCGGCAATGGCAGGCTACATATCTCTTGAACGGTATTTGGAGGCAATAAAGCAAACCACTTACTACTGCAAATATCTCGGAGGGTCAGGACGAATTTCACAGGCTCGTAAACAGCACGACGCCTCGACTTAGTATCTCCTCTTTGTAAATGACAACAAAAATCAACGTGGGTTCCCACTAAAAAGGAAACACAAACCAAGTGAGAGTGATTTGCACTATAATACACTTTGTAGGATCCTTTCATAATACTAATGTGTTAACTGGACTAAATTTTACAGAGCACTACTTTCTTCTCCGTGTATGTTAGCACACACGCAGCTCCTCTGTGTGTGTTGAATTTGTAGAGTAAGATACTAGCTAGAACATCACATAGAGTCAGCCACTGTTTCTGTAGCACTAATGAAATTCTATAAACACTGCAGTAACAAGTGCTCATGATAAAGAATAAGGTTAGTGGAGAAGAGGAACTTTTTAAACACTTGAGATACAATCTGTCATCTATGATTTTTTTTGTTTGTTTTTCGAGACACAGTCTCACTGTGTAGCTCAGGCTAGCCTTGAGCTCAGCGTGTAGCCCAGGCTGGCCTTGAACTGCCTCAGCCTCCCAAGTGCTGGTATGACAGGTGCGTACCACCACGCCCGACTATGTGATAGATGAAATTAAATTAGCATATGATCAAAAGCTAGAGTGACTCCAATGCCCTTTTAAAAACTACTCCACTGAGTGTTCCTTGTCTCTTAAAACCTAAGAATTTAACATTTGAAAAAAAATCTGTACCTGATTCTGACAGAGGAACTTTCATCTTAATCTTATCATAGACAAAGTCTTTCTGTTCCTTAGGAAGAAAGGTCAATAATTTTCGGCCTGTGATCTCATGCTGGGAAGAGGAAGAGGAAAAGGAGAGGGAGGGAAGAGGAGGAAGAGAAGAACAAAAAAAACCATTTTATCCTGTGTGCTAATACTTGTCATCCCCCCATCTCCTCGCCTCCAGGGAATTTAGGTTCTGCCCCTTCAGTCATCCATGAGCATACCTGTTGCACATCACACAGCTACACTGTCCCCACTGTGACTGCCACCCCTACCTTTCCTATGTGCTCACGCAGGTACCCCACCTCTCCAACAATTACTCTACCCAGAGGCCTCCAGTCCACTCCTTTCGCATTTTCACTACGCTCTGTCTCCCTCAAACAGTCTCATTCATCCCTGGCCAGCTAAGATTCTGTGACCACTACAATCACTCCCATGTTTTCTTTTCCTCTGTAGTATATGCCAGGTAAAATCGCAACTCTGGACACTTCCAGCTCTTCAGCTCCCCACACCTCCACAAAATGAATATGGATGAGAGAAAAAATACCTCTGCTGTGATATACTGGATATTGAAACCTGCCCAAAAACATTTCTGATAATTCATCCTTCTACTCTTCAATCTGACTATGTTTTGTCTTTTCCTCCTTTAAACCTCCAAACCCCTAGCCCTCTATAGTATTTTCAGCTGACCCCATTTATTATAGTTAAAAAAGGAGTAAAACTCACACAAAATTCTAAAAGCTCTAAGCTTTCCTTGACACTACCTGCTCTCCTCCAGCTATAGCTCCATTTATCTGATCTACTTGGAAAT